AATGAACAGGCTGTACCTGATACTGCTAATATCAATTAGTTGTATTCAATAGGCAGAAAAGCAGCATCAAAACAAACCAAGATGGATGAGAGCATACATAATTTTCCTCTTGTGTTTACAGTATATACAGTTTCTGTCAGCTTTGTTATACATATGTACAGAACAATGTACAATCTTGTAGCATAGGCATTTCTATAGAATAAAAAATAGAGATCTCAAGAGACTAAATAATTTCAAGTACTGGTATTTCTAATATGTTGAGGGTTAGAAAACAAATTTTTTTGAATAATGGATATTTTCCTGGGTGTATGAGAAATCCATTGTTCGCAATATAATGGATTTTTGGAATAACAGATGATTTTTGGTGCACTGAATGATCTCTTAAAAATGAGAATATAAATTATATATATAAACTATTTAAGTATAATTTTTTGGTATGTAATAAAAATTTTATATTAAGAATTAAAGTTTAATATTTTTATTACCATGTGGGTCAGACTTTTTGTAACAATTTCCAGCATCAACATAGCATGATGCAGCTTCATGGCGACTGCCTGTCTTGATACGAAGTGATGCAGCTTCACAAAAAGCACTGCCAGCAGCTAAGAATTTGAATTGTTTTATAGTATTTGAAATAATATAAATAACAAATAATTTATAAATTAAATTTTACCACTCCACTTTTTTGCCATCTTGAACATATTTGCAGCACGTGCATACATTTCACATGCTTCTTCAACTTTTGATGAACCACTAAAAATAAAATTGATAATTTCATAATCATTTTGAATCATAATTAATTTGAATTTTAATTACATAAGTTACTAAAACAACCATTTGAAATGAGATATAATAATAAATATGAATATACCTATTAAAAACAAATTATTAACAGATAATTTCAAAACTGACTATAAAAAGAAATAAATAATAATAAGAACTTANAAACTAATCTATTTATTCAGAATTGTCTTGCGTCGAAAGCGAATTAAACCTCATAGAAACATCCGACGACGGCGTCATTCGAGAGCTTCCGACGGACTGACGACAGTGACGACGCGTGTCACGGGGGAGGGGTGTGATGAAAAGCGAGTACAAGTGGCTGAGATAGAATCGGTGCCAAATCCTTGTTAATCGATTCAGAACGATTTTTAAATTTTTTTTTATAAAATAAATAATATTTGCGTATGGAACTAAAGAGCCGCAGCTTCACATCCAAAGAGCCACATGTGGCTCGCGAGCCGCAGGTTGCCGACCCCTGCCCTGGACAGATATATCCGTCCCTCACTGTGGAGTGGTTAACAATAGAGTCATGTCAGTCATCTATCTAACTTTATTTGTGGGAAGATTTGAATTGAAGTAATGTGACTTCCAGTTCAAACTGAAAGTTCATGTATAGTTAGTTATCTGGACTTCCTGCTCTAAGCTTTCCATATTTAGTCTCAATATTCATTTATCTAACTCATTTCTCAAGATTAAAGGACACACAGACAGACACTATATATATATGAAAATGAATGAATGTATGTTTGTCTGTCTGTCCGTCCGTCTGTCCTTCATGCATTACTACACCATTTATCCGATTGCCATGAAACTTTGGGAAGTTTTTTAATACACTCCCGCAAAGGTTTCTGACATAGTACATTTATCCTACGATAGATGGCGCACGTGTATATGAGCATTTCATTGTGAGCATTTCAGCACGGTTAGGAGTTGAAACTTGAAATTTGGTACACAGTTAGGGTACATCATGAGAACTGTACTGTACATCATGAGAACTCACATTAACAAGGGATTTTTTGAAATTCCTCCCCCTGCGGGGAAAGGGACAGGATTAAGGCTTCAACAGTAGAAGTGTTAAGAGAAAGCAATGTGCAAGATTTACAGGTGCAGATGTGGTTTTTTGCGTTAAATCAAACATAATTTTAGACCCATCTAAAAATTTTCTAATTAGTCTGGAAACAGGGGAACCCAATCCTTGCATTCTGTGAAAATGGGTAAGATTGGCTGTAATGTAATAATCTTAATCTTCACTATCGTTACTTTTTGCCCAAGCAACGCTTGGTTTATTTGCTAGTTTTTCTATAAATGCAATATTTACAAGAACATATTTCCCACTTAATTTATACAGTCTGTTGCAAAAATATAAACATTTTATTATTACATAAAAGGAATTATTCTCACATTTTTACAAGATGTTTTTATTTAAGCAAGACATATAAAGTCTTTCGGACATTAAGGTTAGCAACTTCCATCACATGCAGGGCCATCATAACTCATCCAACACAGATTACTTTTTAAAATTAATAGTAGACCTGTATTAATTAGTAGTCATTGACCATCTTCTCTTCTAGGAGGAGGTCAACGACTACTTTTGGTTGAATTACTTCAACACCCTTCCACAACACTCAATGGTAGGCTAAAATGACCAAACTCTTTATATGGTTTTCGTTTTAATGTTTGTTATGTTATAGTATTTGATTTATATAACTACAAAACTTATCTTACGTAAGGGTTTATCACACTGAGTGACTGATGTAATGTATATTTAAAAATAATTTATTCCTCTATTGTACACAATTTAAAGAATTTTTAAAATGTATTAGATTGGTCTCTTGGTGTGATAAACCCTTATGTATGATAAACTTGGTAAATATAAATTAAATAATATAATATAATAGANTAATAATAGAATTGTGCCAGTCATCTATCTAACACCTTTCAAAAGAAAATTTTTGAATTGAAATAACATGACTTCCAATTTGCTTTGGAAGTTCATGTACAGTTAATCATGGCTTCCTCCCCTAAGGTTTCCATATGTGGTCTTGTCTTTCATCTCTCTAACTCCATTCTCAAGATTAAGTAAAGACAGATGGATGGACAACAGTGAGAATATAAAGTCTACAATTTTTTCAAATTGCAAGCTCAATAATAAAAAGCATTTGACTTTAAAATTATTTTTATAACTTAAAACAGATTTTAACCTTAATTCCATTTTTATGATCTACTTAATTGAATATAGAAAATATGAAATTGTTTTTGTTTTTATATACAGAACAGTATCTTGGTTTTTTAAAAATGTAAGATAATTTGTTCTAAGACACTTAGCTTAGAAAATTCCAAAAGAATTAAAATGAATATATTTCTATATTTCTTTATTAAATGTTTTATTTTTTTCTTTCTCAAAATATTTTTCAGTAATATACAGGGTGGTCATAAATTATTGAGTACATTTCATGGTTGAAAAAAGAACAACATAATAATGTAGCAACTGCTGTTTTGTTTCAAACAAAAGAGTACTTTGCTGATAGTGGCATGACAGCAGTGGCATAGCGTAGTGGGGGCTTGGGCGGCACTTTTAGGGGGCGGCAAAATTTCACAATAAATAATAATAATATCTTGTAAAAACTTGAACCATTTCATTTCATATTTTTGTCGTACCTATGATTTGGACCGATTGAAACGAGCACGGAATTCTGTGACGAAACTGAATTTTAGTCTTTTAAATTGAGCTACCTAAATGGGGGGGGCGGATGACACCCATACTACGCCACTGCATGACAGTAGTGCATAATGGAATATGGCTACAATGCAGGAAAAAGTGATATGCTTTCTGTGATTTTGTGAAAGCAAATTGGTTATAACTGTTTAAAGATGTTTTCACTTGGAGTATCCCATTCCCCAAGTAAGGACTCCATTAAGCATTGGTATCAGCAATTTAAAGATACAGAAAGTGTAGAACAGAAAAGATGCTGGTAGACCATCAGTCTCTAAAGTTGTTGTTGATTGAGTGAGGGAGGCTTTCACTAGAAACCCGAGTAAATTGACTCATTGCACAAGTTTGGAATTTGGAATACTGCAATCGTTAGCTTGTGATTTATGCAATAACTGGACCTTGTATGCATGAAGTTTCAGGAACATGAAAGTTGTCCATAAGTTCCTGAAACTTCATGCATACAAGGTCCAGTTATTGCATAAATCACAAGCTAATGATAAAGCTAGACGTTATGACTTTGCCATGTATATCCTTGACAAGATTGACAGAAATAACTCTTTCTTAGAAAAAATAATCTTTTCTGAAGAAGCAACTTTCTGTTAACAGTCATAATTGCTATATCTGGGGAACAGAGAATCTTCATGTAGTAAGAGAACATCAATGTGATAGTCCAAAAGTTAATGTTTGATGTGCATTTGCTATAGATAGTGATTGGACCATTTTTCGTTACTAAGCCTGTAGTGACAACATCTATATATCTCAATATGTTACATTGTTATGTTATATCTCAACTTGAACACCATCATCTAGAAGTTTACTTCCAGCAAGATGGTACACCATACTGGGGTTTCCTTGTTTAAGACAACCTGCAGGAAAAATTTCTAGATTGTTGCATTGGTCAAGGAGGACCGATTTCCTGGTCTACACGATCCCTGACATTATGTCCTTGAATTTCTTCCTTTAGAGATTTGTCAAAGACTGGGTGTACACAAGCAAAGTTCATGATATTGAAGACCTAAAATGACAAATTACTAAAATCATCAGAGGAATAACTGCTGAAATGCTCTGCTACACTTGGCATGAAATTGAATACCAGCTGGATATTTTATTTATTTATCTGAGCACTATAAATGGTTCTTTCTATGACTTATCACACACTATTGAGAAATCGCTTAGAGACTGATGAATATTAATTATTTTTTTGTAACCACAGTATGCATTTGGGTGGATAAGCTGTACCTCTTATGCCATTACAATTACTAAATTACTAGATATTTTACGTGTGACAAGTGGAGCTCATGGAAGTTTGAAGTGTAAAATGTTATTAAATAAAACTATTTGAAATCATCTTGCAAAGAAAGCAAGAACATGTAAGTACTTTACTCTGTTCTTTTTTCAAACATGAAATGCACTCAATAATTTATGACCATCCTGTATATCTGTTGGATAGCAATAGATTTATTTTTGAATTTTTTATATAGTAATTCTGAAATTTATTTTCTAGAGGCCATAAATTGTTTATTAAAGGCTGTTGAAATATATACAGATATGGTATGTATGTTTTATTTTCATTAACTCTATTTTTGTTTCAGAAGAAAATATTGAGAGATGATATAGCCTAGTTAGCTTCTTTTGTTATTATTTTTAATTGTTTTATACAGGATGTCCCAGAAGGAAAGGTCAGTATTCTGAAAGGTAAAGTTCATATAAACATTGCTCTATCCTGAATGGTTTCAGTAATAGAATATTTATTTTTCAAGCGAGAAATTTCCAACAGGTTATAATAAATTTTCAAAAATTTCACTGTTAATTTTAATGCATTTTTTTCTACTCTTGAGAACTAGACATGTTGCTTGTCTGAGTTTATCTACAAGTTCCTCTATGCAGGGAATAGGGAGAAGCTACCAGTTCATCTCATGTATCCACCATTCTTCAACATTGTTCACTCTTCATTCAACCCTATAAACAAGCTGATGGGGGTAGATCTGGAGATCTTTATAGCCAGTAAATGGTACTGTCACAACCAATCCACTGATAATGGAAAATGCAGTCAAGATGTTGCTTCACACATCTAGCAGAATGGCAAGAGGCCCATTATGCTGAAAGTACAACTTGGAACTCATTTAAGATGAGCATATGTTTATATAAACACTTTGTTTAAAATAACCATTGCTTAGTTTGCTTTGACACTATTGACCTTTCCTTCCTGGCCAGGAGTGGATCTAGGTTTTTTGGGGCCTAGGGCTTTGACTTCAATGCCCCATTTTTTGTTAATACAAATAATACTATAAATTATCATTATTATTATATTATTAATATTAACTATTTTTCACTATATGATACGTGCTCATTGTTAATGAAAAAGTATTGAAAAATTTATGATGATAATTCAATTTTTGTGGGCCCTTGACACTTGGAGGCCAGGACTTAAGCCCTATTAATCCCTATATAGATCTGCCCCTGTTCCTGGGACATTCTGTATACTCAAAATTTGAAGTAAGTTTTATTGACGCAGTTTAGATTAATGGGGATAAAAATATTAATCAAACACATTGAAATAGTAACTTTTCAGCAATGTTAATATACTCTGTAAGAAAGTACCAATTCTATATGAATTGTATGAAGATTACATTATAAATGAAAAGCAAATTTATATAAATTTAATGAAAAGACATTTAAGAATCTATTGTCATTCATTAAAGATACATTGTAAAACTTTAAAAGCTCACTTATGACACCAAATATATTATAAGGAAGAAATTGTACTGTCTTTTGGCATTATGTTTATTTTTTTGCTGAATTAAATGCAAGTACTTTCGACATTTCAAAATAAGGCTAAGTAAAATAAAATATAAATAAGGCTAAAATAAAATTAAAACCCGGATAAAAATTAAGGTTTTAAGTTTTTATAAAGTGTTATCCATATATCAGGAATTTCAAGAGTGGGAGAGTTGCAGAATTTTAATTAATAAAGATATTTATGACAACTCCCAGGTAAACAATGTTCTGCAATCTAAACATTGCTTGAGAACAGAAGTACTGGCACATAGTAGAATAAAATTATTTTCTAGTACAATTTTTCACAGGATCAATGGAAGATGTATTTTTTTAACATTGCTCTGTTGTTCATTTAAGCAGTTTAATAACTTTCTAGTGGTAGTATATATGTAAAAGATCTTTCTTCCTGTATGCACTTGTAATGGGATTATATAAACCTGAGACTTTTCCAAAAGGGTAAGAGAATCTTTTATCATTACATAGAATTCTGTGGAGTGATGGCTGTGGTTTGATGGTTAGTGGGACCCTGTGTCTTTTATAAGCTCAAACTATTTGTAAAGTTATAGATTCTAAGTATGGGATAGAAGGTTTTGCAAATATTAGCTTCTTGTTTTTATCGTGTCTTTAGGGTAGTGGGAGGGAAGAGAGAATTGTGGACCAGGTTGATAAATTTAAATTTGGAGGAGTGGAATCAGTGCTTATGCAATGTTGGGTATACAAATTTCAATGTTCCCAATTCTTTTAGTGGTGGTCTTGTCTCTGTACATCATACTTTTCCTATTAACCTTTCAACAGTGGTATAGTCAGGTATGGTGCTATCCCAAAGTAGTGGAGAATAAACGTGGAAAATTTTTGAAAGTATTTTTCCACGTGTTTTTTTTCATTACTACTTCGGAAAAAGATTTTGTTAACAGTTATGTCTAGTAAAGAAAAATCTTTTTTTATTGTTACATAATTAATTTTTTATGTGAATTTCTTTTTTGGTAGTTTTTGCTAGTTTTTGGTGATACCCCCAAAAGAATTTAATGGATATATCCATCCTGCACACTGCCACACGATTGCCCTGGACCAGGGATCGGCAACCTTTTGAGTCGGAAGAGCCAAAAATTACAATTTACAAAATTTCAAAGTTTTTAAAGAGCCACAAAATTTTTTCTTGCCAACAATAAATAGTACTCGCATAAATAAAGTTTTTTGATAAAAAAAACTAATCTATTTATTCAGAATTGTCTTGCGTCGAAAGCGAATTAAACCTCATAGAAACATCCGACGACGGCGTCATTCGAGAGCTTCCGACGGACTGACGACAGTGACGACGCGTGTCACGGGGGAGGGGTGTGATGAAAAGCGAGTACAAGTGGCTGAGATAGAATCGGTGCCAAATCCTTGTTAATCGATTCAGAACGATTTTTAAATTTTTTTTTATAAAATNTTGGGAAAATTTTAACTGTAAATATATGTATTTTCTTTAATGCTCCAAAGCCTTCTATAATACAATACAGAATTTGATAACAAATAAGAAAATTTGTTAAATTGCTGAAGTTCTTCTGTTTATAAAAATTTATTATACTCTAAAAACACTAGCTCGTAAAATATTTTCTTTTTTCATAAAATGCAAATAGAATAATACTTTTTAAATTGTATGATATTGTCAATTATCATTCAATTTCTAATCTTTGTTACTTCCATAATATCTACTTTGTATATGGGGAAATTGCAGCTTCATTTTCTTTTGTTAATCAGTGAATTGTTTATAAATTGCTTCTCGTGTATTAGATAATTTTGAAAATAAAAGATTAATCTGGAGTAGAGCTCAAATATGAAGCTCTACTTATGCAAATGTATTTACATACCTGCATGACAGTTACACAACCAGACTTTGTCCAATCTTCACTTTAAGATGGTGACTTAATCACCTACCTGTAACATTGTAGAAAAAAAAAAGACAAAGCTGACAGAAACTGTAAAATTTTTACAGAAATACTTTTCTAGCATGCAGAGAATGCTAAAAACACATGTATATTTAATCTTTTATTGTAAGCTATGATTTATGTTAAAATATGTAAAAAAAGAAAAAATACCAATATTCTCTGTCAACAATGATAATTTAAAATTTATTTAAATTGTTCAGATTAGCTTCTGAATCAAACTTCTGACAGACTGTTTAATCAGAAGTTTGGTTCAGTTTCAAAGAATTTGTGGCTGAAGCCAATTTGAGAAGAATTGAAAATGTTACCAAAAGTAACTTAATAAACTTTGGTCTTCTTAATAAGCAATTTTGAAGTATATATGTTAATATGGTGTCAAGTTTTAAAGAACTAAATACTTATATGTAAATGAATTAACATTTTTACATTTATTAAAGTAAATGCGATTACCAGAAATTTAGTACTAAACTATATCTTTTCTTGAGTACAACTTTAGTAAATTTTTATGAGCTCATAACTTGTAATTCATTGATTTTAAAAAAGGTTTAAATAAAAATGGCATTTTGTTTTATTAAATTTAGTTACAGAATATTTGTATCAAGATTCCAATTTGTAGCCTCTTAAATGTTTAAATTTTACTTGATTATTAAATTTTATATTATTTCATATCCTTACGTGATAGAATCTAACCTGAAGACTTATTAAATTAATTAAAAACATTTGTTTCATTGAACATCTGGATAAAGATATTGCTTTTATTAAATAAAACTAGTTGAAGTATGTATGTTACAAAGTGTCAAGTTTTAAAAAGTAAATTCTTGCATAATATAACTTCAAAATAACACAGTATGTATTCTATTTGATAGTGAATGTATTATAAACACACAATTATTTATTGTGACATCATCACAATGCCATGCTACAATGTTCACCTCAAATTAGTACTGGCTTGCCCCATACATCATACTTTTCCTTTAATAATAGAATTGTGCCAGTCATCTATCTAACACCTTTCAAAAGAAAATTTTTGAATTGAAATAACATGACTTCCAATTTGCTTTGGAAGTTCATGTACAGTTAATCATGGCTTCCTCCCCTAAGGTTTCCATATGTGGTCTTGTCTTTCATCTCTCTAACTCCATTCTCAAGATTAAGTAAAGACAGATGGATGGACAACAGTGAGAATATAAAGTCTACAATTTTTTCAAATTGCAAGCTCAATAATAAAAAGCATTTGACTTTAAAATTATTTTTATAACTTAAAACAGATTTTAACCTTAATTCCATTTTTATGATCTACTTAATTGAATATAGAAAATATGAAATTGTTTTTGTTTTTATATACAGAACAAAAACAATTTCATATTTTCTATATTCAATTAAGAAATATCCATTATTCAAAAAAATTTGTTTTCTAAATATATTTTATACATAAAATGGAATTGTTTTAAAATTAAATATTTTATAACATATTTTGTTTATATAAAGGCAATAACTCATTTTGAACAAGCAGCAGATTATTTCAAGGGTGAAGAATCTAATAGGTTAGTGTTTATAATTAAAGCTTTCTGTTAAAAATTTTATTTGCATTAATGATAAAATGTTTAAATAAAAGTACAAAAACTTAAATTTAAAAATTTCAGTAATTTAATGATTTGGTATGGCAGATTAAAAAAGTTATCAAACTGAATTGTGTGTAGATTAATAATTTAGATTTATAAAATGAATAAGATTATTGTAATTAGCAAATTAGTTTGTTCTTAGGATGAATAAACTAATTTGACTTTCAAAGTAAATAAATCTTACAATCTTATAGTCAAATTTTATTGATAAGAATAGTACTAGAAAAAGAACTTTGCTAACTTATCACATGTAATATGATAAGTTAGTGATAGTCTAATAATACCAAACTTTTCATATTAACCCAGCAATAGGTGTACCTTTTTAAGTTGTATAACTAGTGTTGTTATGCTTTTTAAGCATTTTTGTTACTTTTTTAATATTTTGGTAGAAACTTTGTTTTTATTTAGAAGAGTGTTTATCAGTATCTATCTTCATTAAAAAAATATATTACATTTATACTTTATTTAATTTAGTTTTAAAACAAACAGAAATGTTTTAAAATTTATTCTCTGATATTTCAGAGCTAGGGTTATGACACTTATTATAAAGAGAGCATCTACAAATGTGTTTACTATGTCCTTGTCCCAGCTGTTGACTATATAGCTATTGAACATTCAAGTGAAGAAGAAGAAATGCTTTCTTTTGAAGAAGAAATTGCACATTAAAGAAGAAAGTATTTCTTCTTCAATTTGAATTGGTTTTAGCTTTATTCTTTTTATGGAGAATTTTGATGAGCTTTTCTTTCATAATGTATTTTTGGACCCTAAAATTTAATTATGATTTCTTTTACTTTTTGTATTACACTATATATACAAACTCAAGAACAGTTGGAACACTACACTAAATGTATTTGAAATATCCAATGCTTGAGCAACTTTGTTTTGCAAATGAAGCATAAAGTAAGTAAAAAACATTAAAAAAATACATATATACATACACGACCAATTGCTTGGTGCACTTCATGCAACAAAACTGTAGGTCAATAAAGAAAATGCTATATACAAGAACTCAATGCATTTTATACAGGTTAATAAATTAAAGGTGTCCCCCCACTTCAAGGTAATGTTTGCTTTACAATAGTAATTTGGAACCCAATCTGCCACATTAACAGTGTTTTGTTAAATATAACAAAACATTTTATTAATATATAATATATTACGAGGGTAGGCTGAAAAGTAATGCACACATGCTTGTAGAGTGCGAACAAAATGATTTTCAGAAGCGTGCCAGGTGGCATATGGAAGTAACATTCCCCATCTGTGCGCATGCACAGTTTGAGGTTATTGTTCATTCATTATATTTTGAGAAGTGGAAATATGGAGACGTGTTCTAGTGCTATGTCAACGCGAGTTAAACAGCATGCTGTTATCAAATTTTTAACTGCTGAAAAAGTGACTCCTACTGAGATTCATTGTGTTTTAAAGGCTGTTTATGGTGACGATGCTGTTGATAGGTCTACTGTAAATCAATGGATAATAAAATTTTGTGGTTTGCGAGCCTGGAAAAGCCATAATTGTTGATGAAATGCGCAGCAGACGTCCTATCACTGCCACAGACGATTACCGTTGCCCCTCATTGCAATGTTTAATTCTTCTCGGTACATACAGACTCTAAAACACATCCGATGTTGAGTTTGTCATGTTAGAGGCAGCCTGGCACCAATAATCTTGCAACATGACAACGCTTGTTCACACACCTCGCGCGCAAGTGGAGAGGCTCTGCAAAACCTGAAGTTTGAACCAATTCCACACCCTCCTTATTCCTCCAATCTTGCGCCTTGCGATTTTTATTTTTTTCCTCTACTCAAGAGAGATCTCAAGAATGATCATTACATCTCAGATGATGAGGTGAAGGCAGCTGTCAAGTCCTGGATTCGAGAAAAGTCTAAAGAATTTTTCAGTGGCGGAATGAAAAATCTTGTTACAAGTTGGGAGAAATGTGTTAGCCTTAACGGTGACTATGTTGAAAAATAAATATATGATTTTGAAGCTTAAGAATTGTACTTTAATGTACTTTTTGCCCAATCTTGCTATTTATTTTTATGTTTGTGTTCTACAAGCTTTTGTGCATTATAGCTATAACTAATAGAACTTGCTGCAAATGACTTATAAAAAAATCTGTTTAAAGAAAGGAGTTTGTTAATTTTTACAAATTGCTAACTCCCATACAACTGAAGGAAGTGTAAATATCATTTACTAACTTTAAACTTCAGGCAATAGTTTTTGATTCCGAAACATTTTCAGTCTTTCTAAGGCCATCCTCAGTGTAGAATTTTGTTTCTGTACACAGTTCAAACACAAATAGACATTAGGACAAATTTTACATCATCAGTTATTCAAACACCAAACTGGTTTTTTAAACACTCCAATTAATGTTCATAATGACAAATGTTTCATCATTTTCTATGGATAGAATTACTTTCAAAATTCAAATTTACAAAATTCTTTTGTCAAGAGAAAGAATTGTGAAAGTATTTGATATCAATGAATATTTTGTGCGATAAGTTTGTTTATTTGTTCATTAAAATTTTCTACGAAAAACAAATTTCATTATAAATATGACACTACCCAAAAAATGGACATGATACTTCAAAATAAAGATACTAAAACCAAAAATGTCCAGCAAGAAGTAACTTTAATAAATTAAAATGAACATTTTTGACAGTTTTAAATCATCATAATCATCATCAAGTTTAAACATAAAAAGGAAGATAGAACTAGCAATTATTTATTGTGACATCATCACAATGCTGGGCTGAAATTTTTTATCATATTTTTAATTTATTTAATTTAAAATATATGTTCTCTGCCTCAAATTAGTAGTGTCTTGCTTCTGTACATCATACTTTTCTTTTAACAATAGTGTCATGCCAGTCATCTATCTAACATCTTTCAGGGAAAAATTTTTTAATTAAAATGACATGACTTCGGTTTGCATCGGAAGTATATATGTAGCTAATTAGGGCCCTAAGGTTTTCATATCTAGTCTCGTCATTCGTCTATCTAGCTCTGTTCTCAAGATTAAGGAAAGACAGACAGACAGATGACAGTGGGAAATATAGATCTACAATTTTTTTAAAATTGAGCCTAACAAAATTTTTGAATTCAAGATATCCATTGTTTCATTGGTTTATCATTTGTTAAAGTTACTTCTTGCTGGATATTTTTTGTTTTAGTATGTTTATTTCAAACTTTATTATAAAACTTTAAATGATTCATATACATTTGTTTTATAACATCATCTGTCTTGCAAAGCAAATTATTGTTTCTTGTTTATATACAACTTTATATTCAAATAAAATACTGTTTAATTGTTTAGTGCTATGCTTTTATCTTCAAATATTTCAGATTATAATATATGATAAAAAATGAATTCATAATATTAAACCAGTAGTAAAATTATCTTGAAAAAACTTATTTTGTAAGTGAAATGAAATTGCACACATAAGTGAAATTAATTGAAAAGCAAAAGCAAATGCTTATAATTTATATTTCACCTCTAATACCTATAAAAAATTCAAGCATTCATAAGCAATATATAAAATTTTTTAAAGATTTACTCTTAACTAAATCTTTTTGAATTTGCTGNAAGCGACACGCAACGGAGAAAAATTTCAACATCGGATACGTTAAACTATTTTTTCGTACATAGTCGGATATCCGAAAGATCAGTTATGCGAACGACCTCAGTTTCCAATTAATTCGGATAATCGACGCTCTACTGAATTTTAAATTTTATTGATATACTAGAGTGACCTAATATAAGCATCAAGCTCATTTGCCTGGTTGTAGCAGTGGGCTTAGTACCCTGGTCATCACTCGAGGCATAGCTTTGAAAAGTGAACTTGGGAAGCTAAGGATGTGGCGGCATTCACATAAGCTATGATGGGAGGCATTAAGTTAAGATCTAAATGGCAGCTAGGCGACTTATAAATGTCAGTGTTATTCATGATCACATGTGTGACCTGGCAAAAAGTTTGTTGTGTGTTAGCTTTGCTTCAGCACAGGAAATCCCAGAGTCAATCGTTTATCTCCTTCCAGTACATCTTCGAGTTTGGATTTCAACACAAACTTCTCTGAATCTAAAAGTAAGATGAGAGGTGGAGGAGGTGAAAAGGTAATGTTGGATGACCTTTGAAATTAACTTAAGAGGTTATGTTACTATTTAGTACTCAGGGTGTTTAACTGGTAGTGCTAAACGAGATAGACAAGACGCATCAAATGATGCTACTTACAAATAAATTGTGCTGTAAACAAGTTATTGAAGTTCAATGGGACCCAATTTTTTGTTAGATAAAAATCTTTACATTGATTACAATAATACAAATAATACTATAAATTATTATATAATCAATATTAACTATTTTTCACTATATGATACGTGCTCATTGTTAATGAAAAAGTATTGAAAAATTTATGATGATAATTCAATTTTTGTGGGCCCTTGACACTTGGAGGCCAGGACTTAAGCCCTATTAATCCCTATATAGATCTGCCCCTGTTCCTGGGACATTCTGTATACTCAAAATTTGAAGTAAGTTTTATTGACGCAGTTTAGATTAATGGGGATAAAAATATTAATCAAACACATTGAAATAGTAACTTTTCAGCAATGTTAATATACTCTGTAAGAAAGTACCAATTCTATATGAATTGTATGAAGATTACATTATAAATGAAAAGCAAATTTATATAAATTTAATGAAAAGACATTTAAGAATCTATTGTCATTCATTAAAGATACATTGTAAAACTTTAAAAGCTCACTTATGACACCAAATATATTATAAGGAAGAAATTGTACTGTCTTTTGGCATTATGTTTATTTTTTTGCTGAATTAAATGCAAGTACTTTCGACATTTCAAAATAAGGCTAAGTAAAATAAAATATAAATAAGGCTAAAATAAAATTAAAACCTGGATAAAAATTAAGGTTTTAAGTTTTTATAAAGTGTTATCCATATATCAGGAATTTCAAGAGTGGGAGAGTTGCAGAATTTTAATTAATAAAGATATTTATGACAACTCCCAGGTAAACAATGTTCTGCAATCTAAACATTGCTTGAGAACAGAAGTACTGGCACATAGTAGAATAAAATTATTTTCTAGTACAATTTTTCACAGGATCAATGGAAGATGTATTTTTTTAACATTGCTCTGTTGTTCATTTAAGCAGTTTAATAACTTTCTAGTGGTAGTATATATGTAAAAGATCTTTCTTCCTGTATGCACTTGTAATGGGATTATATAAACCTGAGACTTTTCCAAAAGGGTAAGAGAATCTTTTATCATTACATAGAATTCTGTGGAGTGATGGCTGTGGTTTGATGGTTAGTGGGACCCTGTGTCTTTTATAAGCTCAAACTATTTGTAAAGTTATAGATTCTAAGTATGGGATAGAAGGTTTTGCAAATATTAGCTTCTTGTTTTTATCGTGTCTTTAGGGTAGTGGGAGGGAAGAGAGAATTGTGGACCAGGTTGATAAATTTAAATTTGGAGGAGTGGAATCAGTGCTTATGCAATGTTGGGTATACAAATTTCAATGTTCCCAATTCTTTTAGTGGTGGTCTTGTCTCTGTACATCATACTTTTCCTATTAACCTTTCAACAGTGGTATAGTCAGGTATGGTGCTATCCCAAAGTAGTGGAGAATAAACGTGGAAAATTTTTGAAAGTATTTTTCCACGTGTTTTTTTTCATTACTACTTCGGAAAAAGATTTTGTTAACAGTTATGTCTAGTAAAGAAAAATCTTTTTTTATTGTTACATAATTAATTTTTTATGTGAATTTCTTTTTTGGTAGTTTTTGCTAGTTTTTGGTGATACCCCCAAAAGAATTTAATGGATATATCCATCCTGCACACTGCCACACGATTGCCCTGGACCAGGGATCGGCAACCTTTTGAGTCGGAAGAGCCAAAAATTACAATTTACAAAATTTCAAAGTTTTTAAAGAGCCACAAAATTTTTTCTTGCCAACAATAAATAGTACTCGCATAAATAAAGTTTTTTGATAAAAAAAACTAATCTATTTATTCAGAATTGTCTTGCGTCGAAAGCGAATTAAACCTCATAGAAACATCCGACGACGGCGTCATTCGAGAGCTTCCGACGGACTGACGACAGTGACGACGCGTGTCACGGGGGAGGGGTGTGATGAAAAGCGAGTACAAGTGGCTGAGATAGAATCGGTGCCAAATCCTTGTTAATCGATTCAGAACGATTTTTAAATTTTTTTTTATAAAATAAATAATATTTGCGTATGGAACTAAAGAGCCGCAGCTTCACATCCAAAGAGCCGCATGTGGCTCGCGAGCCGCAGGTTGCCGACCCCTGGTCTAGG